GAGACCGCCCAGACAGGTGGGTGGTGGGGGTGGGAGGGTGGTAAGAGTCGGGGTGGGGTGGCGCGGAGCCCCCAAGGCTGGATACGCTGGGATAGGGGTCGGGACAGGAGGGAAACCCCTCCTGAGACTTTAGGAAAACTTAAACCCCGCAGCAGTTGCTTCCTGGTGGTCGGCTCTATAGTCTCCCACAGAAGGTCCAAGCGTCCAGGACTCTTGACATTCGTTTTCGTCCAGTGCCCTAAGGGTTTTCTGACTAGACTGAGCTCTGAGACACCCAGGATATTCCCGCCGCGCTCGTCACGCCGCCGCGTCGCCGCTCTGCGCGCGACTGTGGCCGGCGCCCTCTCTGTCCAGCTCTGGAAACAACCCAATTGCCCCACTGCCCCGGCTACCTATAGTTCGGTTTAACAAACTTCAGCTCTAGTCTGAGGCCTTCAGGCGACCCTCCCTCCAGGAATGGCGGCCGAAGCTGGACTACCTGCGTCAGGTGATGTGGCCATCCGCAATGTGTAATCCGGGTTTGGAAGTAGAGAGCCCGTCCTCGCGAGATACCTCAGCAACTACAATTTCAGCGACTGATAAACTGAGGGGCGGTTTAAAACGAGGGGAAGAATAATTTAAAGTAATAGATTAGAAACTTGTTTTGTGTGTTGATTAAATCCCTGGGGCTTGTTAGCAAATGGGCATGCTTCCCAGGTGGACTGTGTTTGAAAATATAAGGGCAGAGTTACCAGTTAACAGACATTAGCCTGAATTCAATGCATGTAGCCTAGACATTAAAGTGAATGGGAGTATTTTAAACTGAACAATACAAAAAGCCAAGAATCCAGTAGTGTTGGTATTGCTGCTGTTAGGGAGTTCCTTGAAAAGTGATTGTCATATAAATTTAGAATAAAACATATTACTTGCTTTTTCACCTAACTCTAAATAATGTGTATTCTTACTGAGGTCTATGAAAGATCTATGGTGAAATGAAGTATACAATTGGCTTCGTCATAGAAGCCCAGTATTGGGGCTGTGTTGTTTGTTGGACTCCGAGACACGATGGTATCCGTCCTGAGGATCTCATCCCCCCCCCTCACCACCGTGAATGAATCACAACGTTAATAATTATAAAAAGAATTTGTTCTCATTTCATTCTGGATCCAAGCTAGCAAGCAAGCAAAACAAAACAAAACAAACAAACAAAAAATGGAGATGTGGGACAAGCCTGAGTCCTTCCAGACACCTACAAAACAGATGCTTTTCTTAAAAAAAAGGCAAGAAAATGCTAGGCCACATTATATTTTGGCTGACTTGGCTTGCTCATTATTTGGTAACTATACCCTAGACTGTATCCACCATTGGATCATGAGACTTGGAGCCTAAAGATGGGAATTTATCATCCTCTCTGGGCCTGCTTCCCTAAAAGTCAATGACATTTCATTCCTCCCTTTTTCTCAGAAGCACGACAGGATTAAAAGGGGTAGTGAACATGAACATACTGTCAAACCGTAAGGCATTAAATTAATGTCAGTTATTCACCCTCCACATTTTATTGTGTCTCTTGAGTACAATAAGCAATGTCCCTGCAAGTTGGAAAGCGCTCATCTTCTAAGAAAGCAAGGCTATTATCTCAAGAAGTCTGGTATTGAATAACCTCAATATTCTAAACACAGCAATTTCCCCTTAGTCTAAAGATGCACTGTCTACTGTGGTATCCGTAGCTACATGCGAACAGTGAGCACTTGAACTGTGTCTAATCCACATTGACGTGTGCTGTAAGTATAAAATACACACTGGATTTCAAAAACTTAACTACAAAATAGGAATGTAAAGTATATCATTAATAATATTTATATTGCTTACATGTTGAAATGATAGTATTTTGAACATATTTGGTTAAATAAAATATATTACTAGAATTAGTTTCACCTATTTCTTTCTACTTTTTAATATGGCTATTGAAAAATTTTAAATTACATATATGGCTTGCGTTCGATCTGTATTAGTCAGTGCTAGTCTAATGAATCCTCCTCACATGGGAAGGATCATTACCTTTGTCTTAAGCACAGTATAAAAAAGCCAAGAGTTGTTAGGTGCCTTGCCAGTCAACACGTGGCCAGCCAATGAAGGATGCGGGAACTTTTGAATTCTTGGTGCAAAGTTCTGTGATACAACAACAACAACAACAAGTTTAACATGTCAAATCTAAATACTTAATTTGTAGGATTATTTTAAACCACATCTTCAGATACCATTTTCCTCTGTCCTAAGTGCATGTTCTTCCATTAGTACTATGGAAACTTTGAAGTAAGGAGTTAATCACTCTTAATGTATTGAATTTCAATGGCTGGCAAAGCATACTCTTAGACAATTACAAATATTTCTGATATGCTTGAATCCTTAATGCTACCTTTTGAAGCAACCAAGAAAAGAGCTTCATCCTTTTAATATGTCCCCATTTTTACTTAAGAAAGTGTACTTTATTCGCTTTATGCACATACACATAAACACGCCTATGGAAATCAATCCAGTCTTAATCCAATATCTTTAAAAAAAATTTTTTTATTGAAGTATAGTCGGTATACAATGTTGTGTTACTTTCTGGTGTATAGCATAGTGATTCAGTTATACATATATATATTCCTTTTCATTATAGGCTGTTACATGCTATTGAATATAGCTACCCATGCTATACAATAGGTCCTTATTGTTTATCTATTTTATATATAGTAGTTAGCATCTGCAAATTCCAAACTCCCATTTTATCCCTCCACACTCCACCTTTACCTCTGGTAACCATAAGTTTGTTTTCTATGTCTGTGAGTCAGTTTCTGTTTTGTAAATAAGTTCTTTTGTGTCATTTTTTTTTTAGATTCCACATATAAGTTACATCATATGGTATTCTTCTTCCTCTTTCTGGCTTACTTCACTTAGAATGATGATCTCTAGGTCCATCCGTGTTGCTGCAAATGGCATTGTTTTATTCTTTTTTACAGCTGAGTAGTATTCCATTTTGTGTATATGTGTGTGTGTTTGTGTGTATGTATGTATATATATATATATATATATGTATATATATATATCACAACTTCTTTATCCAGTAATCATTAAAAAGTCCACAAATGATAAATGCTGAAGAGGGTGTGGAGAAAAGAGACCCCTCCTACACTGTTGGTGGGAATGTAGTTTGGTGCAGCCATTATGGAAAACAGTATGGAGATTCCTCAAAAAAACTAAATATAGATTTACCACATGATCCTGGGCATATATCTGGAGGAAACTAATTTGAAAAGATACATGCACCTCAATGTTCATAACATCACTATCCACAATAGCCAAGACATGGAAGCAACATTAATGTCCATCGACAGATGATCAATATCTTTTTTAATGAACTATTATTAAGAAAGTACTCTTTGGAGCATAGTGAGTGACTCTCATTATTTAATATAAGCAGCACAAATGCATTGTTCAAGATGTAATATAATGTAGTACATTTTTCATATTTTGTACATAACTGGAAAAAATTTATGTGAGACATTTTCTTTTATTTCACTGGAAAGAAATTTGCATGCAAATATGTTTCTCAAGATTTAACCTTACCCCCACCCTTAATCATCTGTTTATACATATTCATTACCATAGCAACATTACATCATGACTCCTGGATTCTCATCATCAAAGGAAAACAGAAACAATCAATAATTGAGGAGTTCAGCCCATCAGCAAAACAGAATTTGGGTGAGTAAATCTTACATAACCAAAAGAAGCAGGGACTTTAAATTGTAAAGGGACTTTAAATTGTTAAGATTTGATACATTTGCAGAATAATATTCCAAATTAATAAGGGAAATAAATGTGTGTAATAACTGGACTTTGAAAATGACTATTGGGTAGGTGTGGTTGTTTAGGATATTCTTATCATACAGGTTTCTTGTATTATTATTACTGTCCTTTTCAGAAGCATCAATGCCATGCATCTTAATTTCTCATTTCATCTTGGAACATGAACTTGTCAAGAAACAAGCATATGGTGAGGAGGCATACTACGATCCTTTCCTATATACTATCAAGGTCTAATTTTTTCTCATTTTACTGCATTTTTCCTTCCCTAAACTCACAGTCTCTCTAAAGAAGTGCATGACACATTCATCTCCACTCTTCTCATCTCTTAATCCTAGAAATCTTGCACTGGGGAATCTTGGTTTCACTTCTGTTCTTCACCTTCTTCTTCTGTCGTTAATTCCATTCCATGAAAATAGTCATCTGTTTTAGGACCTTTGTTGAGATTCCACAATTTGTACCTTCAAAGTGTCTACCCCAAAGGACAGCTCAGGTCTTATAAAGAAGAAAAATAATGACCCCCCTCCTCTGTGGACATGATAATGGGGGAAATATCAGTTTCTTAGCTCAACTGCCACTGCCTAAAGCTTAAAGTCTTTTCTAAGTATTCCCACTATCTGTTTTCACCACCTTCCGAAAATGCCTGCACCCCTTCACTGATTTTCATGTGCTTCTAATACTATTTATATGGTCTTTCCACAAACTCAAACTTTGTCTGTTTCCCCTTCCGATGACTAATAGTGTGCTGAGCTGATTGGCTGCATTCAGCACAGGTTTTATCTGTGAAAGGCAGGTCGGAGATTCAGTTCCAAGTAAGCAAGCCACCACCACTTAGATCATTTCCTTAGAATGGGCCCATAATTATACTCTGCCAGAGTAAGGTCACAGCTAGGTAGGAGAGTTAGATGACTCAGGACAGCTCCATTCCTTTCTGGGTAAATCACTCAAATTACAGTTATTTTTAACCCCCGACAAATGCCTTGTTTTTTCCCTCTTATCTCTTCCCTCTGTCTCATCTTCTACATCCAATTAATCAGAAGTTTCTATGGATTCTAACTTTTATAAAAATCTCTCAAATTTTTTTTTCATTTCTTGCCACCTCACTGCCCATCCTGCTTTAGATCATCATCTTGTTTTACTTACAATGTCAAAAATGCCTCCTATCTGGTCTCCCTTCCTTGAGGTTCACTCCTCTTCACTCTGTTCTCACAGACTCTTCAGCTAGAGGCATATTTTTATAGCACAAATGTGATCATATCACTGAAAGCTACCTAATACATGTTGCTAGTTCTAACACTGGCAGTTTTGACATTGGCAGCTGAAATTAACTTGGCACATAATAAGCACTCAGTAAATACTGATTGAATGAATAAGTAAATGACATTTAAGACCCTCAACCATATTGCTCCAAACCTGCTTTTCCAACTGTATGTTCATCTTTCCCTTGCTCTCCCCCAACACTAACACTGTATTTGTTAAATAAATGAGTTAACTCAACTACAGCAACATTTTTGTAACTAAAGTTTTTCCCTCTTTATATTCACATTGCCAAACCAGAGATGGTAGTTTGGGTCAGTTCACATAATGAGAGCAAATGTTAAAACTGAGTGAGTAAACCTTAAAAGGGACCAAAGAATGTTCATTAAAGAACTCTCTGGCTTGGGGGCTAAGTCATCCTAGTAAAAGAAATTTGAGCTCTATATCAGTGGAGTTTTTTAGTTGAAATAAAAGAAACTTACCTTAATAAGTTTAAGCAGGAATTACATTTATTAGAGAATATTAAGTTGCTCATAGATTCTCTGGAAAAGCCCATGAACTAAGCTTGGAAGTAACACAGGCAGGGACAATATGCCACACCCTGCTACAGAACTAGAGATGCTCTGGTCTGTCTCCGCACTGGGCACAGACAGTGCAATTGGCTCCATCAACACCCTGAGGCTGGACAGTGAGTGATTGTGCTAGGACCTCTCCTCCTGCTGCACCTGAACACTGGCTGTGGCTTTCTTCTCCCTAACTGGAGCTTCAAGGGAGGCCTGGGGACTGAACATCAGGTTTTGACAGAGAGCGGTAAGGATGCATAAAGTAGGGAATTCCCTCGAAATCCCTCAAAAGGATGAAATGTTCAAAGGTACTGGTGGTCCATATGGAATGACAATCTGGGAAGCCCGTTCTAATCCCCCTTTTCTGGAATTTAGGGAAGTTACTTAATCCTTACAAAATTACAGCCAGAAATTAAGGTTTCAGACCTCCGGTAAGCCCTATTTACACACAACTTTACCACCTTTTACATTCTTCATCTATAAAATGGGGAAATGTACCTCCAAGGTTTATTTTGAGAATGCAGTACTTTTGGATTATTATGCAAATGTGTTAATACTATCATTATCACAAACTGGGAATACTACTACTTTCCCATGCACAAAATTTTTGATAATGAGATAAAAATTACCTGGAAGGCTTTTTGAATTTAAAAAAAAAGTTGGACAAGTACAAGGAACAAACTTTTAATCACTTGTCTGAGAAGGAAAAGAATACTTAAATGTAATTAAAATTTACAAGTATTGTTGTTGGTGAAATTCTTTAAAAAATGCTGGATGTTTGTTTTTCTTTTCTGTTATGATAATAAATGAAGTTTATGTACAGATAGATGTTCATTGCCATGAGTGACCTGTTTCCACATGAAAGGGACCACATAATTGTGTTTGTTCCTTTCTATTTTCCTGTTTTTTGTATTTGTCTGGCAGAGCCCTACTTCTCTATGATTTTCAAAACAAAATGTAAAGCATAAAAGCAAAAAATAAAAAAGATTGCAAATGACAAAAGCGCTAAAAATATTTATCAAAAATACTTACTTTCTATCCACTGAGAGTAAGCCACTTGTCCCTAAACTCAGAAGTCAAGGATTCTTTCACAACCTAACAGGATGAGAAACTAAAAAGAACAATGGTAGAAGGCATTACTGCTCAAATCTCCAGAGGAGCAAATTTGAGAGTGATGCAAAGGATGCTGAGAGGTCTCACAAAATCCACACTCAATGACTTCCTGTTGGATTGTCCATGTGGCCCAACAGCTTTTACCATCCTGGGACCAAGTCGGGTACTTGTCTTGCAATAAGGGCCCCCACACGTGCCTCTGCTCTTAGAGGTTCATAACAAGTCTATCAACCCACTCATTTCCTTTGAGGTGACTCCTACGTTAGATTATTAACTATACAGCAAACCATGATGTTTTGGAAGATGAGGTACACTATTTTCTCGGTGTGCTCCTTCTCCTTATCTGTTGTATAGAGATGTAAAATACACTGATATTTCTGCTTATGAATTCTCTGGGAATCAGATTCTTCTTAAGAAACTCTGCTGTGATTTGGGGAGAAAGTCACCCAGTACATGGTCCATCACTGAAAACCAAGTTGGCCACCACCACATGGGCCTAGAGAGTGGGGACATGAGGGACATAAATAGAAGACAATGTTCACCCATGATAGTACAGCTTAAATGTGGAACACAACTGTTCTCTAAATTCCAAGTACTAGAGTTGATGCAGAGCTGGAGGATTTAAACAAACTTCGCTTGAAGCTCAGATGTAATAGAAAGGGAAACAAAACCAGATAGGAACATACAATCAGGCAACATAGTTCATAAATTATCATTCATTTGTGTTTTATCTTGTGGTCTCCTAAGGAGGCACTTCCCCACCAGTTCTAGGCTCCTTTCCCTGTGAACTCTCACCATCTTTACTGAGGAGGAGGCTGACCCCAGAGAACAACCATCATTCCCGCTTCCCTTTCTAAAGCCTACCTTCTAAATGCTCATTCTTTTCTGAGAATCCTCCTCTTCACTGCATCATTGACTCCAGGAATATCCACCATTTTAAAGTGAGACCCCTTACTTTTTTCCCACCCACCTAGGTGTGGCCTTACCACTTCATAGGAGAAGCATATCAGAATCCAAAGCACCTAAAACATCAAAAGAGACACACACTCATGTGTACACAGACACAGACACACACACACACACAGTAGCAAGGGACCTAATTCAGCATCAGATGTATCTCTTTGTGGATGACTGACAGTCAAGTCTTCAATTGAAAGCACCAAAGATGAGTTTTGCTGAAGGGGGCGCCTGTCTCATTACTCTGCTGCAGCTATCTCTTAAGATACCAAGCCCAGAATACAAGATAAGAGGCAGAGAAGTGGACAACCAGTTGTCATCTGCTTCCTTAAGGTCGTGGAAGACACATTAGCAAGTTCTTTTGTCCTTAGGATAAGCAAAATGGAGAACAAGGATATTTTTCAGAGTCTTTCATAAATCTAAAAGGTCAAAGTATCTGATAGCACATGGCATAGAAGCAGATGGAAAATGTGCTATTTTCTATCTTGATTTAATTAAGAGGGCTCCCACAAAGCCCCAAAGTTTCACTTTACTTTTAAGTTTTGAGGGCAATTAATACATCTTCAGTGTATATATCAAAGCACTACTGCTAATAGCCTTCTTTTCGTTCATTCCATAAACGGAGTGACCATTCTATGATGGAAATGGTTTCTTGACACTTGAGTTAAACAGAACTAGATCCCAGCATCTCTTTGTTAATAAAAATCTAAATAAATTGACATAGTTGTTGTCAAATATTGAATGCCTACAACATAAAAGGTACTATTTCATAATCCCATAATACGTAAGAAGATAAATTTGATCATGCTGTTTTCAAAATGTGGACTTATTTTGTTGCGACCTTTGAATGATTACCATCTCTGCCTTTTGATAACTGTGTGACTATGGGCAAGCTACTCCTTAGATCTCCATTCCTTTCTCAAGAATTCTCACTGGAAAGTTA